GAAAGATCCGGTGAACTGAAGGTATTGAATTTCTAACAATTGGTATCAGAGCCACTCATGTTGAATTATTGAGAATCAAAGTTGTGTTTTGATTCTTGCAATATTTTCGAAGTTTTCAGATTTAACAATTTCGGATCTAGTTTTGTTGAATCTAAAAATTTTACGGCATGTTATTCTTGATATTCTTTCCAGATCTGGATTAAAATCTTTTGAAATTTATGATTTGAATTTCTCAATTTTGAGATCTGAATTTTTTGGCCATAAAATTTTAAATCTTGGATTTTGGAAAAGTTTTAACCAAAATGGATTATTATAACTCTCCTCCGTGACCATCCTCTTCCAGAATCTGATTTATGGAAATTGTTAACGCAATTAAAATGTCAAACATATATATCTTGTTGCGGTGGCGGTTCAATTCTACTTTGTTCAATTTTATTTTGCCTATTTTATTCATTTGTGGATCAAGATTCTGTGGTGGCACAATTGGATACAAAGTCAGAATATTACGGCTACCATCGGCCGTTTGATAAATTCATTTCTCATTTGGATTTTAATTGTGAGTGAAATGTTTAACCATATAATTGCGGGCCCATGTGATTATGAATCTGAGTGGTTAATGAATTCAATTTATTTAGAAATATAATTTTGGCAGCCACGTGAATATGAAATTGAATTCAGAAAGCCAGAAACTATTGAATTCAATTTTTATTTATGGATCAATATTCTTCGGCTTAATTGGATCAAGAATTACGGCAACTATTAATTATAATATATTATTGTGGCTGCCACATGAATATGAAGATTTATGAATTAACTAAAGTGCACTGGAGTTAATAAATTAAGATATGTTTGCACGGAATTCAAGGTTTGTTTCCGGTGTATACTTTGTAAAAAGGTTGAACCCCAACCTAGAGGGTTCCCCACCACCCTTGCACTGGAGCATCGTGAGGAAGGTAAATCGTAGGTTATGCCTCCAAGGATATAGGGTGGAAAACTGCTTGTACACTTGCACTTATCCAAGAGCCAAATCCATATTTTAGGATTTGAACCCTTGATGTAGCAGCCTCAAGCAAAGTTGAATTTCTCCACCCGCCCCTTTTACCCCTTAGAGATGTGCCTTGGGGGCTCCGGTGTATACTTTGTAGTTTGTATTGCATGATGGATAATGGCACACACACACTGATGCGAGGATTATTTAAAGTTGCTATTGACTATTATATCCATCATTGAATAACTGTATTGGGTGTCTTGACTTATTGGAACTTGCAAAACGTTATAATTTGTATGTTGAGTAACTGACGTCGGCGCCGCTAGGATTTTCTGGAAGAAAAATTTCCTTAGCGTTTTCAATTACGATTTGGGTGATTTTGGGGGGCGGGGGGCTTTACATGTAAATTGGATAACTTGATACTCCTGCTTGCAATTAGGTTTAGGGATTTTAAGTCCCTAAAGTTTAAAGTTTATCCAATTGGGCCCTTAAGTTTTGGGATTAATAATTTAGTCCCTAAGGTTTGAAAATTACTTAATTTGGGCCATTAAAATTCTGAATTTTATAGTTAAAGCCCTTAAAGTTTATAATTAATTCTTTTGAAGTTTAGCCAAACATAGTCTTTACGTATGATTGTTGTAATAATAATAATAATTATTATTCTAATATCAAAATGGTGGATGGCAGCAATTTTAGGAGTCTTATACCCTATCTGACAATGATTTTCAAGGGATTAAATTTTTGTACAGTCACCATTTTGAGCCACTTTTGTTGACTTGTTGGGTTTGAAAAGCATTTTTTTTTTTTTTTTGGGGCTTTGGAAAATCGATACCAAATTTCTTGTTAATAATAAACTTATTATTATAATAATCAAATGTTTTTCAAAGATACCCATTTATGAATTTTGTGATATTGTTCCACAATTTTTTAATTCGAGAAAGGAATGGATAATCTATTTTAAGATGAATAAATATTTTGTCCATATAGATTACATGATTGTTGTATACCGATGGTTTGGAGTGGTTATGTACTCACCTCTTGTGGGACTAGTCATGATAAATTATCGGGGTTGTTATATTGTTTACGCTTCCGTTTAATGATATTATACTAAGATCCATACGAATAGTGAATTTGCTCTCTCGGTAATTCATTATTTGGTAGGATGCTTAGGATCGATGGTTTGGAGTGGCTATGTACTCACATCTCGTGGGACTAGTCATGATAAATTATCGGGATTGTTATATTGTTTATGTTTCCGCTTAATGATTTTAAACTAAGATCCATACGGATAGTGAATTTGCCCTCTCGGTAAATCATTATTTGGTAGGATGCTTAGGACGACAAAGATAATAATTAAGTGCTTGGCACTTGGTGGCTAAATTCTATCCTCTCGGTAGTGGGTCATCTCAAGTCCTTGTATTTAATTATTTTGTTATGTCATGCGTAAGAGCCTTGTGTGTGTCATGGGCTCTAGCATAGTGCGTAAGAGTTATTTTTAATAAAACTCTAGCATGGATATAAAGTTGCCTAGTGGATACTTTTATCTAGATTCTATTGCCCTTCTAATATTACTAGAATCTAATTGAGCCATTTTCTTTTGAGGACATTAGTGACAGTGGGAGCTCCGCACCACGTGAAGTGCTAAGGGAGGAACCTATTATTATACCTGTTTAGGTTACTCCTCTACCAGTGGCTGTGTCACCATTGACAGTGGGAGCCAATACTATTGTCCAAGACCCCGTTGTTGACACTGAGGTTGATGTTAATGAGCATAAGTTTAATGTTGTTACGTCTCTTGATCCGGTCCCTTTTTTTTTTTTTTTTTTTAAGGAGGCCATCGATAGTCCTAAATCTTCATTTTGGATGATGGATGCTATGCATAATAAGATGACATCAATGTGTCAAAACAGAGAATAGGACTTAGTTGAACTACCCTGTGGCTGTAGGCCTATTGGCTATAATTGGATTTTCAAGATCAAGTATAATTCTCAAGGTTAGGTAAAAAGATATAAAGTTAGGCTTGTTGCTAAGGGCTTTAATCAAAGACAAGACAATGTTTATATATATTGAGACATTTTAGATAGTCTCATGCCTGGGTCATGTGCATTTTGGACAAGGTATACTTTATGTATTGAGACACTTTGGTTAGTCTTGTGCCTGGGTCACGTACATTTTGGATAAGGCGTACTTTATGTATTAAGACACTTTGATTAGTATCGTGCATGTGTCACCTATATTTTGGACAAGGCGTACTTTGTGTGTTGAGACACTTTGATTAGTCTCGTGCCTGGGTCATGTACATTTTGGACAAGGCGTACTTTATGTATTGAGACATCTTAATTAGTCTCGTGCCTGGATCACGTACATTTTGGACAAGGCATACTCTATGTATTGAGACACTTTGATTAGTCTCGTGCCTGGGTCACGCACATTTTGGACAAGGCATACTTATGTATTGAGACACTTTGATTAGTCTCGTGCTTGGGTCGTGCACATTTTGGACAAGGCATACTTTATGTATTGAGACACTTTGATCAGTCTCGTGCCTGGGTTACCTGTATTTTGGACAATTCATACTTTATGTATTGAGACGCTTTGATTAGTCTCGTGCCTGAGTCACGCGCATTTTAGACAAGGCAATGATTATATGTGTTGAGACATTTTGGTTAGTCTTATGCCTGAGTCACGCGCATTGTGGACAAGGCGTTTTATCTATAAGAGACAATATGTTTTTTGTCTATGTCTAAGCCTGGCAGTTGTATGTATATGTTTGGTGTCATATACTCTATCGGTATAGTCATTAGGCTATATGCTACAACTGTATTTTGGATAAGGCTTATCGTTTTTCAAGACATTCAGATTTGTCTCTAGGGCTTCTTATGGAAACGGGTGTTTATCACTTTTTCGATTTTTCCATACTGCTTCTACATCTCATTGGCCTATGTTACGTGATTACAAGTATTGGTCATGTGTTGTATATCCTGCCGATATATCATTCATTGGTTTGAACTTGTAGGCACATTTTGAGCAAGGCCTTTGGTTTTGAGATGCTTGTTGGTGTTTATGTAATGATTAAATGAAATGTTGTCCAAGTGGGAGATTGTTGGATTTATTTTATGGACTAGCATTTCATTAGTCATTTTGTGAGCCCATAATGGGATGAGCCATTTTACTAACACACATGGAGGCCCCTACTCTCACTCCACTCATATATAATTGACCCACTAAATTCTATATATATATGTTGGCTATTCCTCCTCTCTATCTCGAATGCAAGCAAGAAAGGAGGATCGATTTCTAGGGTTGAAGGGGGAGTAGAGAGTAGTACTCTCCATAGCAACTTTTCTTCATCTTTTGCAGCCCAAAGAATCAGTGAAAAGCCAATCACAAATCATTGGAGGTACTACAGATCTTGAAATTCTTGATGATCCAACATGAAAGATCCGGTGAATTGAAGGTATTGAATTTCTAACATCAAGGTCACGTTATCATCCAACAAACGGAGCTTTGAGGCCGACTTCGCTTCCAACTCCACGCCCATCTTGTTAAGCCGGTCCTCGCATTATCTCTCCTTAGTAGCGAACCTTGGCCGTTCTGCTTCCATACTTTCATAAAGGCCCATAGCCTGCTCCTTAGCCTGCATCTTATCTAGTTCGACTTTCACGCCAAGAAAGAAAATAATTGGACCCACCGAACAAATTGAAAAACGGATGCGTACTGCCCACAAGGAGTTTACCTTTTTAGCCATTGACATCATGTATAAAACAGATCTATGGCTATGAAGTTGAGCGAAGATGATAACTTTCCCAACTGGCATCTCTACGAGGAAGTTTTGCTCCTGTTCATTCCAGCTCCGAGTAAGAAGGGTGGCAAAGTCCCTCAAGGGAGGCGGGAAAGCGGATATAGACTCCCATGACGGAGATGGAGCCTGGAGGACATCTAAAAATATGTCAGGGTGATGCCCAACTAAGCCATCCACACTCAGTCTCTAAAGTTCCGGACACCTATCTTGCGATCGCGAATGACCGGACGGTCCAGGCCCAGCAGAAGTAGACAGGGATGGGGAGGTCGGAGCTGACATCTGGACCGGTACCACTGACGATTTTTCAAGTGAGATAATCATAGGTGAAGCCTTTGTCGGGGCCACCTCAGCTCGGCTCCTCTTCAGTTGTAGAACCTCATCCACCTCTTCAGAATCAGAAGGTCAATCTACTTGTTGAACTGGGGTCTCTTTCCTCTTCCCTTTGTTAGCTGCAGTAGCTTTCGCGACTTTGTATCCTAGCATGGCTAGATCCTGAGCTGAGACATATGAATATGACAAATTTAGTATAAAAAAGAGAGAGAGAGAGAGAGAAGACGATAATGCGAACTCTCACGAACAAGATGATACTTACTAGACGACGTGGTTGGAGGAATGGAAGTCCTGGGCAGTACGGAGGTCGGTGAGGCTGGACGAAGTAACCGCGCCTAAAATAGGTTTGCGTCTGAAATCACGAACTTACACGACCTCTATGATGTGATCTGGGTTGCATCACGAGATACCAAATATTTATCACATGTTGGCGAGGGGTCGAGGCCAATATTTGAACTGAATTGAAGGCCAAATGAATGTGATAATGCTGGACAATTGGTTGATCGAGATTATGAAGCGCTAAATGTTGAAGATTAGCAAGCATAATTTAAGGATAATTCCAGGTTGCATGATGAAGATGAGTAGGCAGCTTTCATTATATATTTATGAGCAGACAGAGACAAAAAACCAACTTGGAGGATTGGTTGTGGCTGAATTATAAAACATATACACATTGGTGGCAGACATTAAAGAATTAAAAGGCTGTGAAATGCTGGGAAATGGGAGGCAAAACCAACTGGATCAGTTGTGCAACCGAAGCAAGCAGGAGAAAACTGCTAGAATTTACATCTATGCGACCGCACCCTGGTTCCTCCAATGCGGTCGTACACACGGCCACAAGAATTTCAGGGGCTGAAATTTATTTAACCATGCGACCGCATATAAAACATCCTTGTGGTCGCACAGTTCTGAACGGAGGCAGAAAATTCAGATTTCACGCAAATTACAAATTGGGATAAAATTCTATATTGGCCGACAATCGGTGATCCTTTAATATTAGTTTCCTTATTAAAATAGGTTTCTTATAATTTTATATCTTTTTAATTATATTTCTAGTATAATTAGGATTTTTATAATTTAATTCCTTTTTCAATATTCTTAGGGTTTTAGCTAGTATAAATAGTTTATTCCTTCTACAATTGTATTACCAAGATTTTTATGATGATGAATTAATGGAGATTTCTCTTTCGAAGCTTTTGCTTCAAAGTATCGAACTTATCAAGATTTTATATCTTGTGGCATTCAAACAAAATATCGGGTTGATTTCTTTGGGTTGTGTAATCAAAAGGTCCTTTGCGTCGTCGTTACCGTTGGGTTGTTTGATTCATTAATTCTTTGAATCAAATCCAAAAATTCTGGTATAATTTCGAGACTTTGTGATCTAGAGGTCGTTGATTTAATATACCTTCAGTTGCTTGGTTCATCGATTAGAGATTAAATCCTAAACCTTGATCATTATTTGGGCGTTCTTGGGATCCGGTGTCAATTCCTATGGGTTCGATTGCAACCTTGCTAGTCGGGTTCGCATCACTATGCCTTTTGGGCAAGGCTCTTATTGCCTCAACTCTCCTCTGAATGGCTGGGGTCAGGGTTATCTTCCTATAATTTGTGATGAAACGAGGAGGTCAACAAGGCCTTAGCAATAAAAAATATATATATATGAATGAGTAATAACAAAAATAAAATATAAAACTTACACAGAGAGTGATAAAAAGTAGGAACTACATCATTCCTCTCCACCCCGGTAGGATGGAACTGCCATTCCCCTAGGACGAAAAAGATCCTCCCATTTTTGATAGATGAAGGAGTATCCAACACTAAAGAACCCCTCGTCCTAGGTCGTACGCTAGTGTAGCACCACCTCGAGTTCTTCTTATCCTCCTTAAAAGTAAAAAGTGAGTTGAACTGCTCTACAGACAGCTCGGAGTTACCTAGCTTACTCCACAAAATAAGGGTGGCTATCAATGTCCTCCACCTGTTCAAGCATAACTGAGTCGGGGCTATTCCCCAGGAAGACAAGAATTTATGAATGACCCTCGGGAAGAAAAGCCTAAGGCCGACATTTAAAATGACTGAGTTTAATGTGACACAACCTAAAGGTGGAGTGTTAGCTCGGTCCGAAGGATCTGGTATTACCATCACGATCGAGCTTGAAATATTATACTTAGCCTTCCAAGCAACCAAGATCTCCTGTTACGACTGAACTATATGAAGACACCCCCCACTCTTCTACGCTATCCCCCTCATCTCCAGCATGGGAGCCCGTTTCTTTCCCCATAGTTCCCCAAGTCTCGTTCCATCTCGCTAGGATGCCCTAAACCACCTAGGTTGACCATGGAAATCGGGATCGGGGTTAAGACTTCTTGATACCTTAGACTGGAGGAAGAAGAAGAGGTGAGAATACAAGGTATAGACTCTTCCTGCTGATTAACCCACGAGTGCACCTTCGACTCGTTCAAACTTATACAATTACTGTGACAAAAAGCAAGGAAAAGAAAGGAGTTTTTCTGAAAAGGAGAATACCTGGGAACTGAGAAATGGAGACCCCACTCAGATAGGGAAAAGAACGAGCTGAAGATTTCTTGTTGGTGTAGAGAGTGTTCGTATAAGATAAAAGGTAGAATGGAAAGCTAAGAGGAGTTTAAAAAAGGGAAAGAATGTCAAGAGACTCTGTTTGGACCGTTAGATGAAGTAAAGGAGGGAAAACAGATGAATTAGATTCACCTAGCCAAAACTATATCGTTTTGGCAAAAGCTTCCCAAGGAAGCCACCACGAATGCTGTACAGCTCATCCCAACAGAAACGTGACACTAGCGTTGCAATAATGACACATTTTAGAGAAACGAGCCAGTCTAGTTTAGAGGTCAATCCTACTATAAAGTAGAACTGACCTGGGGGTATATGTTGACGACGGACCTCCCGTCTCATAATTTTTATTTGTAGGCCCCACTCCAACAGATGTGAGTTCGATCATAAAATTCAACTTGGCATTCTACCGCCGTAATCTCAAGAGATATCATGATTAACTCCTGTCACATCACTCTCTCAATCACATACACTTATAGATGGTGATGTCACCATCGTCCACAACCATCAATCCGAAGCCTCGAACCTTCAAATCACTTGCAGGTCATCATCACCTGAGAAAAGCATTGGCACATGGCAACTGGTGTAGCGATCGAAATTTTTTAATAATAATAATAATGATAATAATGATAATAATAATAATAATAATAATAATAATAATAATAATAATAATTAATTTCACGTCATTACAAATCGTTTCCCAATTTATGTACAGTAAGTGGCCATGCATTTAGTACGCTAACTTTGTCTAGTCCATATTAGTTGCTTGTTGCCCTGAGAATATTTTGAGATAGATTATAGTAAGTTAGGTTTTTGTCGTTTAATTTTAATAGAGATAGTATTCACATAAGTCGTGATTTAGTTAAAATTCCTAGTTCCTAGCATATGCTCAGTATTGCGAGATTGATTATTAAATTGTTGAAGTTATGAAAATCTTTACAGCAATATTAGACTCGTTTGGTGGCTTATAATTAATCGTGCATAATGGTTTCAAAAAGAAATTAATCCAGATAAAGACAACCAAGTTAGAGGGAATTAAAGTAAAGCTATGGCTATTGAATTTTGAAGGAATTACATTCTCTAGGTTAATGCTTGGGTTGGATTTCACGTGTGATGTGCATATCAATTATCATATTATTTGCTAGAATAATGCTATTTGCTGTCTTTGAGGATTTGATTGGATGATTTAAATTGGTCTATAATTATCCTGGACCTATTGAAGGAAAGAGCCCAAATTGAGTCGAATTTCCTTTGGCACACGTCTTTCCTTACCTTCACATAATATTAGTTTTCCCCCTTTTTCCTGAATAAAACAGTAAGAAGAATACATATTAAAAAAAAAAAACATATTGCCAAGAAGAAAATCTCAAGAACAAGGACACGGCGCTTAAACCTTCACATTTGCTTCAATAGAGGTAGATTCAAACCCCGTTTTTATTCCAGTTCATGTTATATTTCAGCATGTATAGATGTGAATTATATATGCTTTATGTGACTCCTTATGGGAGATTAATTTCGACCTGGTGGCATAGTAGTGCACCAGAAATATGAACTTGGTGGCGTAGTAGTGCACCAAATGTTGGTATGTTGTCTCCGACATGCCATTGATTAAAGACTTAATGACAAGAATATATGCTTAAAGTATACCATGTTTGGATTTAACGTGTGTATGAATCTATTGAGTATTTCTATGAAATACTCATTCTTTCCTAACTATTTCAGATTAAAGCGATCGAAGGCAGCGTGGAGGGGAGTGGTGGTACATTGATGTGAACCCCAAGAGTCATTAATTGAATCATGTTTAGTTGGAATAAATGTTTTCAACATTTGAATTATTTGAATTAGTATTCGTTTTTGAAAGCTTAAAGACGGAAGTTTGATTGAAATTTATTCATGTTTGGTAGGATATTCTATGGTGGTTTATTTAATCCATACGAACAACAATGTTAGGAATTTGGATCCTTTCAGTTTCTGATCTCTGTTCAAAAATTCGCCTAGACCAAATTTCTTGAAATTTTGAGTTGATTCCAGATGGAGTGGATAGCCATATGAGTTATCTATCTCTCGAATTTGAAATCACAAATTTTGGTTGTGTAAAACTCAAGTTATGGATGTTTTTCCCAGAGCTGACAGAATGCATCCGGGAATAACTAGATCCGGGTTTGATAATAAATTTGACCAATCTGCCCATTGAATTTATGCACGAAATTTTAACCTATAATTCTCCTATGTGTCAAGTGTCTGTAGTTTAAATTTTGTAATTTTTGGATCCTATTTAGTTGTCGAACGAAATTTATTTCAGAAAGTGGCGCAAGCTGAAAAAAAAAAAAAAACTTTTCGAAGGAACAATTCTCATTGATTTAACATTTTAAGAGTTCCTTACGGGAGTTTAGAAGCACTTATCACACGTGTGCATATTTTTTTTACTCATTCCTCTTTGTGTTTTACATGATTATTACTTGTCATTTCTTTATTATTCGTGATATAAAGGGGAGAGATGTGTATTTATTTCAAAGAGTTGATTATATGAGTTAGGGAAGAATTTTAAAAATTAAAATTTTTTTATTGATAAATGAGTTAGGGGGAATCAATTGATATATTTGCTGGAGATCGATTGTTAAACCCTCAAAAACCCTCATTCGGTTCACAGATTCCAATTGAACTGGATGGTTCACAGAAATTTTTGACGGTTTCATTTCAATCGATTTTTACCCTAGTGGATTTCTATCTGGTTCTCATTTTTTCGGTCAGTTCGATTTTCAAAACATTGTTTGGGAGTTATTTTTATTTGAATGAGAGCATTTAGGGAATGTTGATATATCTATTTCAACCAAAATTCTTATGTCTAATGAGATGAAATTGGAATTTCTTGACACCACGCTTGACTGCTAACATTTCTTTGAAAGTGGAATGGTAATGTTTTTCTGCTCTTGAGAATTATTCACGATTTTATCCACAAATATTTCTTTTTCCGTCTTTTTCCTCCAAGAGAACTGTTGTCCAGTACAGATCACTTGCATCAGTTTATAAGATCCACTTTCTATAAATGGGACCTACAAGTACTTCCCACTTCCTTGGCACTCATTTCTATCCTTCTTGGGAAAAACTAAACTAACAGGGATAACATGACATTTGAATTGTCTATTTTTTCTTCGAAGGTAATTTCAATTATAAACAAGCAATCTCTCAATATCAATAAAAACCTAATTCCAACAAACAACATATCAGGAATTTAAGGGTAGTGCCCACAAGATAAGCAACAAACCTTCCTTTAAGAGAAGATTATAGACTACATCTAGGCATCTTGATGTACATATATATATATAAACTCCTCTCATTACAGGGCATCTCCAAAAATCTCGTCTTTTGTGGTTTGTAATTTAATGATATGAAATCAACTATTGTGAGTTGATGTCAAGGTGATGTCAAGGTTTGATAGGCTGACATTGGATTTGGAATGGACTCTGTTAAATTTTGGCTAAACGTGAGCTTTTCACTCCAACTTTTTATTTTGATCGTTTTAAATATACGATATATACAAATGATCATAGTAGTTGTCAAGGTTTAACGGATCAACATCAGGTCTAAAAGTGGATTTCGCTAATGTAGTGATCAATTATTTAACATTATTTAATTTTAGCTATTAAACGGATCGCAAGACTAATTTTAAATCACACAAGTTTCAGGGACCATTTGCGAAAATATCTCGTTAGAAATATTCCAAAAAGATTACGATCATTTAGTGCTATCTCTCTCAAATTCGCTCAACCCATACTAATTTAAGGTCCGCTAGGACTAAAGTACTACGCCCAGAAAAATCAGGGGGAAACATGAGCCCAATTCCCGCCCCCAATTCCAACCCTAGCTGTATAAAAAAATTTCTCCCATTTCCTGAAGTTACACGCCATATCCATTTTAGGCTGCAGATCCGGGAACCGGAGAATTCGCCATTGGGAGAAGTAAGCTTTTTCTTCAACAATTTTATTGTTTCCACGCCCATGACGATGTTTTGCTTCAAATATCCAGATTTGATAGGTCTGTGTATTGTAGGGGGGAATTGTTTATTAATATGCTATTGTAGTGTTATATAATTACAGAAGTTTATTTATTTAAATTGTTTGAAATACCCGTTATATTTTGATTCTTTGTTTAACATGTGGCTCTGGGGTTTTAATGATATTTGAAAGCCTTTGTGTATGTCTGATGTGGAGGTCAGTCGAAATTTGAACTGTGATCACTTATTTTGCCAAAAATCATATCGTAATCTGAGTCGAGATTCTGGTGATTCTGGTGTTGATCATCCAACCAAAGATGTATGTTATACATTTCGGTAGTCATTTTTTTTTTCAATTTTAATCATATGTTCTTATATCTAGTTTTGATAGCTATATAATATATTGTAATTGTTTGTTTCTTTTTTAAGACATTTGAAAATAAGGGTTCGGAGGTTAGGTTTTTACAGAGTTTCTGGACCTCGACATCTCCATAGTACTCTGATGGGAAAAAATAAGCCAGGCCATCAGCATAAATGTTGTGGTTTACATAGCTTGCGGCTTCGTTGTGGTGCTCCGAGGATAACAGCAGTTCGGCCATGTCGTCCCCCTAGGGCGATCCTTACAACTTGAGGACGACTTCATTTGTAAAGTTAGTCAACATGGCTAGAGAGAGAAATTTGAGGAGAATAGAACCTAAAGAGGATGATGATGGTGAGCAGACTGAGCTGGAGGACACAAAGGATGAAGAAGGCAATGACACTGAGGCTCCGCATTCAAAATTTGCTGGTAAAAAGAAAGGAAAGGCCAAGAAAGATGGAAGCAATAATGCATTCAGTGCTTCAAGTTTGGTTTACTTGGAGAAGGAGATGATGAGGATAATGAAGATTCAGGAATAACAAAGAGAATGTTGATTATGAAAAATCAGGATAATGAAGTAGCAGCTTCTTAAAGTTGGAAAGGATGAGAGAGCACTGAAAGTGGCGAAGAAGAAGTTGGGCACCCACAAGAGAGCAAAGAAGCGTGAAGAGATGGCATATTTTTTCCGGAATATGAGGTGAATGACATTGATATACAGTGTTTCTAAATTGTTAAGTACTAAAGTTTTTGCTTGCCTTCGATGGACTTGAGCCTAACTTCTATTGCTTGGTGGATATCTATTTTTATAATTCTTGATTTTATTCATCTGTATTTTGGCAATAAATAGTTAAATTCATCCATTTCCTGTATGAGTGCTCACAGTTTGTTTTAGTTTGAACAATACAGGGGCTGCTGGAGGTGGAGAAAATAAGTAAACTGCTGCACTTGGATTCCTTAGGAGAGTTTCGCGGTTTACAACAAATCAGAGAAAAGATTTGAGTTGTTTAGCCCCTTTATTTAGTTAAACTGGAGATTGTAATTTTGATTTGACCGTTTGGAGAAGTTCGCTGATGAGACTTGTTTTTTATTGAAGGTTTTGCTAACCGTATTTCTTTTGCTTGAAATTCAAGAACTTTTTGAGCAGTTTGTATATCAAGTTACATGCTCATTTGTCAGAGTAATGCTATTTATTTAGATTTTAGGCGGCATTGAAAGACATGTACACTTAAATTGCTATGTGCGAAGTTCATGACAAAGGTTGACGAAAAGTGTTCAACCGTAGGTTTTCAATAACATGTGTTGATCCTCTTGTTCTCAACCGTGTGTGGATTTTCGTACATAGAATTGGACGAAATTGCTTTAGTTAAAATCAAACTAATTTATATTTATAAATTATAGTTAATTGAAATTACATTACATATATGCATGCTACATTCTGATAGGTAAGAATTTGAATTCCTACTCCAATTCATAGAACGAAAAATCTACTCAATTCAGAATACCCTAGAAGGGGAACTGGAGGCCTTTTATAGTGCCATTCAAATGATCTAATCCAATCTTGCAATCGATGACTAGGATTACATCTTGAACGTCCACACGCTTTTCCCTTCCATAAGAAAAAGTCGCACTTTTACTTGATCAAGCTAGGGCTTGAACTCAATCGTCATCATTTGGGTCACTTGAGCTACCCTCTAGCGGGCAAGAACTTGGAGCTAATAATTTCAGTAGTTAATAATATGGTCCTCGTGGAAACGTTTCTTTACTCATTATTATATTATTTGTCACGATTCATACACTCGTGATAATTTAGTGGTCAAGTTTTTGGCACTAATCATTTAAGGTGGGGATTGTCTTCAAGTTGAAGACAGGACGGTCTAAGATTATTAAAGAAGATTAAGGTTTGTACCTTACCCTTTCTCCTTAATTTTTTGGGTGACGTATTCTTTAATTATCTTGTATCTTCCTAGTCAAATTTCGTTCAGCTAAATTTTCTATAGATAGAATTAGAATAAAACCTTGTAAACTCCTTAGAAATTAACTACTCGTTTATTGACGAAATTCTTGTTAGTTGATTATTTATTATTGAATGTGTTGCCATCCAATTATTTCGCAAATTCTAGGATTGCTTTTGTTGATACTGAGAGGTGAAGCGCATTTCTAACTCAAATAATAAACAATTATTTCCCACATTCTAGGTCTTATAAGAGATAAACATATATATTGATATTCTAGTATAGTCTTGCGTTTTTTACTTGTATCTATCATAGAAATATAATTGGGATATAGATAAAGATTGGAGCAATATATCTCGAGAAAGAAAGTTGACATGTAAGAAATGTTGATTGTCTACTTAAAAAGAAAATGGGTTAACAACAGGTAATTAAAGATTAGAGTAGATTTGTTTTTCATGATTTGATTATATTCCAAGAATTTATTGTTGCTATTTTAGCTTATTTTACTAAAAACAATAATAATAATAAAATAAAATAAAATAAAATCATCATTTTTCTCAAGTTGGTCGTTTGGATTAATAATTTCAGTATTATTAATCCTAGAGTTCTAGTGTTCTAAAAGCAGTGCCTAGCTCGCCTTATGTTTATTACCATTTCTTTTATTTAATTATTAAATAATCTTTAAATTGATTTATAATTTTAAAATAATATTAAATAAGAAAATCTTTTTCTACGCTTAGGCCGAAGCTTGACCTTCATGTTTCGCTACGCTTTACGCTTTTTAGAACAATACAAAATTCTAGAGATTTTCTTTGGAGTAAGTGGCGATCTTCAAAAGACATGTTTGGCAATTGGGATATGCTTCTATTAAGCAAAGCATGATTAATCGTTTCAAGAGTCATC